GGGACGGACCGGCGACCACCGCAGACAACCGCAGACAACCGCCGACAGCGCAACAGCCAGAGCCTCTAGCGGAGCATGGAGGTTCACAGAGTGCTGTACCTGCCACGAATTCTGGTGACGTCTCGGTGTGTGTTGTCGCAAAGTGCTTTGCCTGCCACGAAATCTGCGCATGATCTCTGTGTGTGTTGTCTCGGTGTGTGTGATCTCTGTGTGTGATCTCTGTATGTGTCGTCTCGGTGTGTGTTGTCTCTGTGTGTGTGATCTCTGTATGTGTCGTCTCTGTGTGTGTTGTCTCGGTGTGTGGTCTCTGTACGTGTTGTCTTGGTGTGGAGGGAATATGATCTCTACACTACTGACTAGTAACTTAGGACTTGTCGGACATACACGCCAATTCCAAAAGCCTATGTCATCAAGATTGATCCAACATTGGCATTTCCTCTTAAGGCCTATGTCATCAGGCCACAACCATGATATTCATAGAAATATGTATGAGGTATTCAAGGAAGCAGCGCCCGCAAAAACACATAGTCGCACCCTATGTCACCACTGTGTCACCAGGGTGCCAGGCAGTGGTATCTAGCACTATTTAGCTGTGTTTTTACATTTTTTGTCGAGGAGGTGTCCACAGGTCCTATGACACCAGGTTTCCCAACCCAGACCTTTTTTTAGCTCGATATGTCAGGGCACATGACTTAGCCCTGGGGGTAGCCAGATTGGTATGTCACTTGCATCACGTTGGCTTAAGTCATTAGACAGTAGTATATATGTGTTGTCTCGGTGTGTGTGATCTCTGTGTGTGTGATCTCTGTGTGTGTGTGTGTTGTCTCTGTGTGTGTGTGATCTCTGTGTGTGTTGTGTGTGTTGTCTCTGTATGTGTTGTCTCGGTGTGGAGGGAGGAGGCGGAGGCAGGCGGCGGGAGGCGGATCGGGAGGCGGATGAGACATAGAAAAGAAGAACGCCACAATAAGATGTGGGGAACAAGTGAATACTCTAATCACAATGGAGGGACGCACCGGCGACCACCGCAGACAACCGCAGAATACCGCAGACAACCGCAGACAACCCAACAGCCAGAGCCTCTAACGGAG